TCTGTATGAAATTGGAGGTAGTTTGAGGATTAAAATTTTTATGCTTTTTAAGCTAAAAAAAAGGGGGGGGTCGTATTATACATGAGATCGTTTTATACACTAATAAATACGGTAGTAAGGGAGTGCGAGTTCTAAGCTGATTTGCTCCTGTTTCATAAAATAAAACAAAGAAAGCATGTGAAAATGATGCAGTTGAAGAAGTTRATTGGGGTTTGCTTATTTACTGATTTTAAATACACTACACACTGTATCTTCTTTTTATAATGTGGTTATTTTTTGGTTGAATTGATGATTTTATGTAGAAACATGCAACACATATACAGTAAACTGTTGCTTTGAACAGAGTTAATTCTGTTTGAGTGTTTGGTATGTGGTGAACCAGATGCTGAAGAATAAAGATAAAGCTTGTTGTACTTCCTGAAAACAGACTGATTGCAGACGCACAGTAAAACTGCCTTCAGCCAGAGCTCTGTTTGTGGTTGTATGCACTCTTTTACATTCAATATCCAAGCATTTGTGTATTTTCTGTCTGGCTCAAGCACATAAAACAGTAAACAAATACGCTCAACAAATTTCTTTCACTGTACTTCATCATTTTTCATAATTTTTGCTTCAAAAAGCTTATATCAAATGCTTATCCTGGGGTGTTTACTAGATAATATGTAAACTTTTAAATAAAATTTAATTTAGTTTTAAATACGCGAAATAGTTTTACAGAAAACTGACATTTTGTTGCAACTAATATTACTAAAAACATCCACTTTCTTCCTTCGCTGTATTTAATCATCTAATATCATTGAAAATGATTTATTTATCAATAACATCGTTGCAAAAGTTGTGTTTGTCTGCTGCACATTTTTTCTGCTTACATTAGCATCTCTTCAGAACGGGGCAGAGCACAGGAGAAGTAGAGCAGGATAGGTGGCAGAAGGGCTGATGCTGGGCTTTGGTAGTTGCTCTCTCTCCCTCTGAAAAGCTCTTCACTCCCTGTAAGAACCACTGAAGCACAAAATTGTCCTCTTGACTTTCCTTTGAAAGAAAGTTGAAAAAGTCAGTCAGCCATGTTATAAGTGGTCAAGAGAAACAGAAGGAGGGAGGGAGGAAGAAACTGAGCGACCTAATAGAAAAAAGGGAATMTTTAGCGAGAGTCTCGTTTGCATGAATTGAGGAGGATTAGAGATATTGCATTGATTGATGTGTGTGTCATTTAGCTAATGCAAGTAACTGGGCAAGATTTTCTGTTATAGTCACTGCATCTCATCGGTTTAAATCAGCATGTTTGCCAAAACCAGAGACATTTGCTGAAATAAAACATTAGTGTGAAAAATAACTGAGTTGAAGGCGATATATTCAAACTTTCAGTATGTTTATAAGTTTGGGATGTGATGGAATAGTGGTCAAAAATGTCACTTTATGAATTGTTAGCAAAATTGTAAAGTAARTAAGTACAAATACTTTGTTACTGGACTTTTTGGGTATCTGTACTTTACTTGAGTAAATATTTTTCAGCCTATTTTTACTTCTACTTCTTACATTTTCACACAATTATCTGCACTTTGTACTCCTTACATTTAAAAAAAAAAGGCAAGAAGTAGAAAGTTGTTACTTTTATTTAATTTTGCTTGTTTTCATCTCAGCTACTTAATGTAAAAAATAAATACTATCCATATTAATTGTGCCTCGTAGACAGAGGGAATTTATTTTTGGTTGAATGAAAAGTATAAATAAATAAAATTGTGATACCGTATTAGTTTGTACACAAACAAATCATGTCACACTCCAGCAGGACATAATCATTAAAATAAAAAGACTGTACTTAAGAAGTATTTGTATTTCATGAATTATATTGTTGAATTTGGCCGCAGCCCTCAGATAAATTTTCATTTTGGGGAAAAGGTTTGTGCAGCCTTGATATATGTTTATAAACTGAAACAGCTGGACTAGCGCATCCTAAATTTAACATAAGTTATTTTGTTACAATATAGTCATTTCTACATTTTTTTTGGTGAGGTCACCTCCTAATGATTGTCATTACAAAAAATCTAATCAATACTTTTACTTTTAATACTCAAGTACAAAAAATATCAGCTACTTTAAGACTTTTTCTCAAGTAATATTCCTAAAGGAGACATTAACTTTTCCKAAAGTAATTTTTTAGTAAGATACTTGTACTTTTACTCAAGTATCGCTTTGTGGTACTTTATACAACACTGATTGTTAATAACAAAACTGTAATCTCATTTTATTTACTTAAACTCTTAGTATGTTACACGTGAGTCATTCAGATTTCAGCTACTATCCTGAAACAGACAAAACAAGTGAGATACAGACATTTTCTGTGGAATTTTAAAAATGTGTAGTTTATATCTCAAGTTCTGATTCAGTTATTGTCTACTGAGTTTGTGAGTTTCAGCTGCATCATTAACATTTTTAAAATCTTACTTTGCTTGCTTGAGCCACGCATTTTATTCCAAAGCCCTTTGGTTTATTTTCTCATGAAAAAACAGCTTTGAATAACCTAATTAGCTCTCCAGGCTACATGCTGTTTACTGCATGAAATTATAAATCCACAAAATCAGAAATTACTTGTTCCTGGTAATTACTTTTAGGCATTCCTACAAATTCCAGCTAACACACTTTCCATTACACACCTAAGGACACACCAATAGTAACAAAGGATCAGTGATAATAAACAGAAATGATTACCAACATGAAGTATGCACATAAATCTCCTA